TGCCGGCTCCCAAGACCCCCCCAAAATGGCCCTGCCATATCCCTTCCTTGCTTCTGGGGAGAGGAAGCCACAGGAGTGGGGACTGGCCCTTTTACACCCAAATGGGTTTCTCCAGGTGGGCAGGTGGGTGCTGAGAATGCCTAACCCAGGGGGACAAGTGAGTCCCACATGGGCTGTCAGCTTGTCACTGAGGCTCTCTTGCCCCTGGGCTTACCCCAAACCTCCCATGGCATGGCTTGTCTCTGTGCCTCATTGCAGGGTGCTGTGCCAACCCCAACACGTATCCCAGCACAGGCAGTGAGGGATGAGTCCATCCCACAGCACACCACCCACCCACCCCAGCTCCTGTCCCAGAGGCTTGCTGCTCAGGTGCTAGAACAAACTGCCAGCATCTTGGGAGAAATCACATAGCATGAGGGAAATAAGCCTGTCAGAAATAAGCCAGTTCAGCCCTTGCTTGGTGGGGAGCAGCAGGCCTGGTGGGAGACAATTTCCCTGCTAAGGGGAACAGTGTCACACAGTGCTATGGGCTGTAGCATCAAGTGCGTTGCTCTCATGGGAGCTTGGGGGTTTGGGCTCTCCAGATACACATCATGGCACACACAGCCACAATAGAGGAACGTGCCAACCTGCATTCAGCAACCAAGCCCTCCTGCAGCTGAGCATCTACCCCGTGGGGCTCCTCCGAATGAGCACCCACCCAGTCACCACATCCCATCAGCTCAGTGCTGCTTTCCACTCACAGCCTTCCCACTTCCCAGCCTGCTGCCTCTTGCCTTGCCTCTGCATTTAGAGGGGGGGGGGAAGGAGAGCCCCTGCTCCAGGGGCCAGGGAACTCCTCTGTGCCTAGCAGGGTTCCAGGCACCCCAGAAAGCAGGTGCAAAGCACAGCTGAGCAGGAGGGCTGGCACCCAATCTGACAAGCAGGCTTGGGAGAGGTGGCAGCAGGTTCCCAACTCAGTGGCACAGCAAGGGGGAACATCACCAACTGAACTTGGAGGCAGCCCATGGAAAACTGCTGTGCTGTCTGCTCCTGGCATCCAGGAAGCCTTGTCTCTGCATGGGGATGCTCACGGGAGGCTGAGGGAGCAGTGCACAGCATCTGAGCAAGGAGGCCACTTTCTTCTCTTCCCACTTAGATCAAGTCTCCTCATGCTGAATCAGCTCCTATAATGGCCCTGGGTGCAGCAATTACAAACATGCATCTTTCCTTTCAGCACTGGAAAAAAATGCCAGAGCAGAACAAAGCTAAAGTTGTAGGGCTGCAGGGATCTCACTACATTTCTCTAGCAAACAAGGGCACTGCTGAAGGTGAGGACTGCTGGGAAAGAAGCCCCCAGGGAATCCCCAGGCTGCTCCCTCTCCCAGCCCAGCACAACCATGACAGAGCAGAGGTCTCCTTGGTTGCCAGAGGGTGCAGCTGGAATGGAAGCAGCCCTTGGGAAGGGAACGGGAACATCTGGGAACCCCTCTGCTCCTGAGAAGATAGCCCCAGTCATTGCCTGAGCACTGGGACAAGGGTTGTTTTTATTTACCAAGTCCACTTTGCATGCCGGGATAGTGCTGGTTTGTATTAACACTGCTAAGTGAGCAACGCCCATCGTGGCTCTGGTCCGGGCACTGGCAGCAATGTTTGTACTAACAGCTCACATCACATCCCAGCATCCCTCTGAGTGAGAGTGTCGGGATAAACACAGCTGCTTGAGGTATTTCCAAACCTAGCTATTTCTGCAGAAAAGCTGCTTTGCTGTCTGAAGGCGTTCAAAGAGCTCCCTTTGCCCCTGCGTCTCACACAGCACCAGACATGGGTCCTTGGGAAAGGCTAAAAAGGCAACTGCTTTGCTCAGCCAGGAAAAAGAGATGCTGGAGCCATCTCCCATTGACCTATCTTCATTCTCTTTGCTCTCCCCACTGGTAGGGTCATGGAGGGTCCCTGATGCCCTCCAGGTAGTGGTGCCCACATCCATGGGGACTTTGTCTGAGGCCTGCTGAAGTCACCAGTCACAGGCAAGGCTCAGCTCCTAGCTGCTGTCTCTAAAACCTTGACTTTCACACTGGCTTAGCTCCTTTGGTGCTTCTGAACAAGCTGCAACAAAGCCACACACAAGCCTGTAATGAGCCATAACTGAACCAGAGCTCTAATTTCATGCCACATAACCAGGCAAGCAGGATGACACGGCGAAGGAAGATTAAAATGTCCTTTTGGGGGCACTGGAACAGAAAGTTTTCCTTTATTTCTCCATCTGCTTTTCCCAGGGCAGCTGTGCATGCAAGCTGGCTGGGCCACTGCAGGCAGGATGACAGCACCACCACGGAACCACAGCATCCACGTGGATGCATGCAGCAGCTTCCTACTGCCTCAGGCCTCCAAGGAGCAGCCCTTCTCAGAGCAGAGCTGCTGTGATTTTCTGGAGCATGCAGGGAAGCATCACCTCTGAGCATGGCTGCTGATGGAATCTCCCTGCCAACGTGTGCCATGCCCAGGTGTGGAAAGGGCACTCACAGGGCCCTGCCACCTGGCATGTAGCTGAGCTTGTCCTCCATCTGCATCCCTGCTTACACTGCATCCACAGGGCTCATGAGGAGCTGAGAAGGAGCTGGGGCAGAACATCCCCCCATGGAACTGACAGATGCAGAGCTGAACTTACATGAGAGGTCTGTCCCTTAGGAGCTCATCGAATGGGTATTGAAGCTGCTCTCAGCAGCATTTGCATTGATTTTATTGTTAAGAGTTCCCAGCAGGAGAGCCAAATGCTCTTGGCTGAAACACGATGGGGGACATGTGAGGAAAGCTCAGAGCAGGGGCAGAAAAGGCTCTGCATGGGGATGGACTCTGCCTTGCTGACAGGGGATAAGTCCTGGAAGGTGAGATGGGAAGAAGACCCCATGTCCTCATGCTGCTGTGTTCAAGGCCAAGTCCTCCATTGCCCTGATGCTCCCTTTGCCTTATGCCTGTCTCTCCAGGGAAACTGAGGCACAAGGCTCCTATCCTTATCAGCAGTGTGGGCACAACTCCTGCAGGATCAACTCCTGCAGGAACCTTGATGGGTCTCTCAGCCCCAAACATGGAAACTGAGACTAGAAGCAAAGCAGGAGGTGGAAGATGACCAAGGTGGAGCCCTAGGTGTGAGGGCAGGGTGAGGACAAGGATCAGGACTATGATCTGGACAATGACTGCTATTTGAAGATCCCAGATCCAAATCCCTGGGAGCTGCAGCCACAGCCCAACCCATACTGGCACATAACAAACTCTACATCCAGGGTATGGGAGTAACTTAAACCGGATTCCCTGTGTCTTGGCCGATGCCTTCAACCCCTTGCTGAACAGCAAACAGCCAAGTTAATAAAACTCTCCCATAAAAACGATGATGTTGGCACTTTTCAGCATCCTTTTTGTTTTTCCCATTGGTGGAATAATCATAGAACATCTGTTGTAAGGTTTTGACTAAAGAAAGCAAAATATGTTTATGCTTTAAAGTAGCAAGGAAGCCAGCCATGCTGGAATGACCACAGGCAGAAAAGTCCCCACAGCTCCTGAAGGTCCAAGAGGGGACCCTTTCCCCTTCTGAGTCTGGCCAAGGGGCACAGGCCTGGCTCTGCCCTACTGCTGGCATGACACTGATAGTCCCAGTCCCAGGACATTTCTGGCAGGATGGGATTTGTGAGCACAGCTGTGCTGGGACAGGATCTGGCCACTTTACAAAGTGGCCCAGTGACCTAGGATACAAGATTCCCTTGGAAAAGTGAAGCTCCAAGAAGCCACCAAACGGGCTTCCCAAAATTCCTAACCTTCCTACTCTGAGTAAGAAAGGGCACAGAGCCTGGTAGGACTTTGAAGTATCTTGCTTCTTTTTCCTTCTACTCTGCTTAGGGGTAGGTCAAGGTGACAACTGCAGGTTAAGGTCTTCTCCATTAGCAAAACATGCCAGCAACAGGTCAGGCAAATTCAATGGATGAAAGCAAAGAAGACACTTTTCTGGAGCATTTCTGTGGGGAAGACCAAGGAAACCCAAACTCCTCTATGAGCACAGCAACCTTTTTCCTCACTGGCTTCCTGGCCCATCCACCAAACATGCATCAAAAGGGGCATGATACAACTTGCAACCCTGAAGCCTTCCAAAATCTATCCCATCATGGTCATATTGCAACCTGAGGCTGTTATACAGTGGGTGAAGCTGGAGTGATGCTGAGCTGGGAAAGATGTCTGTGCCACTTTTTGGGCTCTCAAGAAGCAGCAACTCCTGAGAGCCTCGAGTAACCCTCACAGCCTGATTTGACAGCGTTGATCCTGACTCACAGAAGGATTAGCTGATGGATAAGGATTTAGGCTTATTTTGCTACTGTTTGGAAATAAATGACGCAGGAAATGTTCTGCTTGCAGGGAATGAAACAGGCAGAAAAGCCCATGGGATAGCTGGGTCATTCAGGCATCAGCAACCACACAGGATCAAAGATCCCCAGTTTCAGTTAAAACCAGTGCTGTTCAGAGCAAGCATCTCTCCTTGCTCCAGCTCACATGTTTGACTCAGAGATGTCT